GGTCGACAAAATCAATTTCCATGATTTTACTTTAAAACTATCGTTTGACCCTGTTTTGTTGTTTTTATGTAGTAGTTAAGAGAAGTATACGTTAACAACATACATATGAACATTCATAAAATATGTTGAATATGGTACAATTTATATATATATATATATATATATATATATATATATATATATATACATGCACTATGTACATTGTACATGAATTATTTATACTGTTCGTTATTTTTAAATTTTGAAGGTTACTCGCTTTCCATTTGAAACTATTTAATTTTTTTTTTTTTATAAAATCATTATTTGAATAATTTTTTGGAATAGTTTAAATTGCAATAATTTACTGAATAAAGAAACTGCTCAATCGATTTTAAATCGTTTTCGTTAGGCATTTGAAATATAATCTTCAATAATATAATGGTGTAATTTATTATTTGAATAACTCTATGCTAAAATATTATAGATAATAATTTAATTATTTTAAAAGACTTTTCTACAATATTTGTTGATGACGACTAACCATACAAGTATAATATTAGATGCATTTGCTTTCGAACTCAACGATGTTTGCAGTAACAGAACATTGAAACTTTAAACTTTAAATTAATCTTAATTCACCAATAAAAAAAAAAAAAAATGTATATACGAGCGACTGATAGATCGCACTAATTGAGTATAAAAAATATGTTAATATATTATCATAATATTGTTTTCGTCTGTACAAATATTTTAACAAAACCACAGTCCGTAAATATTACCGAAACTCAACAAGTATAATATAATGGTATTTTAAATACATAAAAAAAAATTGATTTGTTTTTATTCAGTTAAACCTTCGGCCACATTTATAATGCACAGTTGGCATACATATGATATAAGTACCAAACTAATTATGATTATACTCATTTCAGTGTCGCCCTAAATGATCAAAAACCAGTTTTTGGCAATCATCTTTTAGTCATTTCCAAAATGTAATGATAACATATAATTATTAAATGGTGAAATGCTTCTGTTGTAAATTAAAAATCTAAATTTCGTTATAATTAATATACGTGCACGTGAATATACGAATGATAATAATCGTATAATGAACACCAATACCATGTGATTAAATATTTTTTTTTACTTAAAAATATTGTCCAATTTGAAGAAAAAAAAAATTTGGATACAAATTGAGCGCTTTTATAAATCGGTTTTTAATACCTACCATCGGTTGCTAATAATATATTCAGAGCAAAGAACTAAAATATAACATACACAATATTTTAAAAACACATGTACTTACATGTATCTACTTTATATGTTCATACATCATATCACTCTTACAGCTAACAGTATTCGGTTTTTCTTTATTTGATACTGTTAGTGTTGATTTTTGTAAAAGTTTGTTTACCGTGTGTTATACCAATCCTGTATTTATTAGATAATAAACGATGGTGAAAAACGTACAAGACAGGGTGTGAGTAGTTTACGAATTTGATGGGGTTATCTTTTTTTTTTTTTTTTTTAATCATAATTTCTCCCACGATTTAAACTGTATTATTTTTCTTACAATTTAAACTATACTGTAGACAAAATCTATGCTGAACTTGTGAATTGTTCTAACTCTTAATGTAATGCAAAACCCATATGTGTTGTCTCGAGCTTACAAACGTTCAACATAACAAATCTGTTAATTTTAATATTAGATTAAACTGAATAAAAATATCTGCGTGATAACATAGGTCTTTTAAAGATATTTTAATTTTCAAACAAATTATGAGCTAATTTTAATTTCTAATATTTTATGCTTAAAAAATAAAATATCGTAAATAACTTATGCCATTGCACAGATCGAAGGGTTCATCCCTTTAAGTTTGAATATAGGGCAGTTTATTTGTTTATTAAAACTAACAATACAAAATTAGTTCTACTGAACACAGAATTGGTGTGTTGTACGTTTATAAGACCGAGACAATACACATAGGCGTCTTCTTAAGTTAATATAGAAAAAAAATAAAACTAAATTAAAAACTTAAAGTTATCTTTAAGTATGGTAAATTCAATGAATTTTAATAAAAATTACCTTATTTAAAATTAAAATAAGTTAAACGAATTTTCTTTTAAAACGATAACGATTATTACATGCATTATAAACTGTAATACCTACAACATTATTACTATCGCAACTTAATGGGAACAATAGATAAACTACTCAGTATTTTAATTCGCGTCCAATAAAAAATTATTAGAAACTTGAAAATGGCTCGTTATAGTTTTAAACTTAATTCTTAACTTTTCAAACACTGATCAACTTGAATTATATTCGCTCCAACTACAAGATTCAATTGACAATAATAATGCGTGTAGTTTTGCTGTTGGTATGGGGATTCGACCCGAAATTTGGTGGTGGGGTTGCTAAGGAAATGGATTTGTGAATGTGACGTATACAATATGATATTTTCGATGGTTGTTTGGATAACATAACTTTTTTCATAACGGAGCGCTATACACGACATAGTAATGCTGCTCGACCCGGTTGATTGTACATACTTGGATGGTTGTTCGCGTGATACCTGCGTATTATAATTATAATATAATTATATATATTATACATATTATGTATACTAATTATTATTATTATGTTACATATTATATATGTCTATCGTATATATATATATATATATATATATATATGGCGCAGCCACCCGAATATGATTTGGTGAAAATTTATATTAATACATTACGCGATATTAGATAACTTTTGTATTCTTATTTAAAATTATATCATTATTCTTATTATTACGTTGCGTGTGAATGCGGTGGCGTTTGTAGAAAGTTCGGAGACTGCAGATCCACGTATGAAGCCAGTGGGGATCGCATGCACGGCGTCGATTAAAGAAATCAATTTAATCAAACAATCGATATGATGTAATGTACAATAGAGATGACGAGTACCCTTGGTCCGGTCGATTGGGTATTTTGAACATTCATGATGTGTGATTTCCCCGGTAGTAATGTGGTTTTTTTCATATCTTTAAACGCCCTGTTTGTAGTTTAGAAATAGCCGATAGAGTAGTAATACGAATATCTAAAAGATAAAACACTAAATTTATTTTAATTAATTTTATTTATATATTTTTATAACTACTAAATTGTGTTATAAAATTACGTAAATAATTTAAATCTAAATCGTCATTTGTTAAATAGGTATAACCAATAAATTAATCGAAAAGTAAAAATAAGTGTTCACTAACCAAAAAATGTGTAATTCATTAATAAAAAACAAATTAGTTTCCAACCTTGACTATCATTCTATTAATACAGTATTCGTTTATCACTCTATATAATTAGAACACTAATATTTTCTCATAATTTTTATTGTTTCGCTTTTTATGGTTAAAATTCAACTAAATTAACGATGTGCTGTAGTGCAGCCAGATTCAATTTATACTTCCAAATAGAGTTAAGACATTCGAAAAAGACCCTCATGGTCAATCGGTAGCCGAGGAAGTGCAAACACAGTGGCTATCTCAAAAAATAAGAATGTTACACTTTGACTCGATTTAATCAAAAACTTTATAATTGTAAGCAAATTCAATTAAAGCTATAGAGTGGCTAACCTAAGGGTGGAACCATTTTATTTCAGTTTCCAGTCTAGAAAAATTTAAATATCTAGGAATAAATTTAATTTGTATAAAATGCTATAAATGGTCATAATATAATAAATTTACAAAAACCACGTATAATCAACTTTATTTGTAACAGACTTTAAAACTGCGTGCATAATATTACAATGCAATTTTTATCAAATTTTTCCTCTAAAGTTGTTTAAGTATTGATTTTAATTTATTTTAAGTTTTTCATTCAATATGTTGAAATATAAAACAATAGATTGGGCAAATCAAAGAGTAGACAGAGTTCACATATTAATTTTTCAACAAAAGCGTAAAAATTACTTTGCAATTGGAACGAGAAGTTATTATTTACCGATAATCCTGTTTGTGTATCATAACCACGACGGATTGTAAGAAGCGAATTTCTGCCGACCGATCCCGTACAGTAGCATACCAAAATAGTCCTACCCGGAGATGTTTCCAGTGTGCGTGACATAATTATTAACATCGTGATCGATATGATAACCGTCGATAACTATAGTGCAATAATGTTGTTCTTATCACGTTTGTCTTTATACTAGTGGCAGACTCGTATTTAAAAATGTTGCGCCCCCTGGCACATAATTTATGCCCCCCCTCCCCAAATAAATAATAATAATAATATAACACTTATTATTTTGTCCATAATCGAGATTCTTTAATATTAAAATTTAACTTATAAATGAAAATCGTTTAATACTTTTTTTTAATTAAAAAATTAAATAAATCAGGTATAACATAATAAAATATACAATTTCCATTTTTTTAAATGAACAAGATATAATATAGTAAAAATACAATTTTTTTTTTTTTTTAATTTACAAATTATAACATAATAAAACATACTATTTTCTTTTTTTATTATAATTTTTTTTTTCATTAGGTACATCATTTTTAAAATTAATTTTGCTAAAATATTTTGCCACCCCTGAGACTTGATGTCCCCAGGCATGTGCCTACCCGTGCTCCCCTTCTAAATACGGGCTTGACTAATGGTAAAACTGGATAACCTATAAATAATACCACGAGAGTCTGATGAGAGATGGAATTCTTTAAACTAACGTTTTTTCTTAATACAATATTCACGAAGCATTGGCGAATTCTAATGTGTTAACCCCGTTTACGGTTAAAGTATAATGATAAAAAAAATCTAAAAACCTTTTAATATTATGATCGCTAATATTTTTGTAATTTTATAACTAAATAAAAAAAAAAGATTCTTATTTGTTTATTTAGAGTTCTTGTGGTTTTATTTATTTTAATTTATCAGTAAAACAGACGAATTAAAACTTATTATTGATTTTGAACAATTATACAATTGGGGTTATAAATGATTTAACGTTTCGAAAATCGTTCTCGTTACAGGTTGACCGATTACAATCCGTCCGACTACAACGGTGTGATGTACATATACTCGGCCGGACACGAGGGTGTCATCGACGGTGTCCATCAACAACAGCAACTGCACCAGCAACACCAGCAGCACCAGCAGCACCATCAGCAGCACCATCAGCAGCAGCAACACGTTCACCACCAGCAGCTTCACCTATTGCAACAGCATCACATATCGCCGCCGGCCAGCCCACCGGACGATTGCGGCCACGTGATCACCGGGTCTACGCTGTTGGCGCACAGACTGCAGATGTCCACCGCGGCCGCGACCGTCGTGACACCGACAGCGTCCGTCCGGGTTGCGCACAAGCAGCCGACGGCCGTGTCGGCGTACACGGCGGCCATGATGACGCCGCCGTCGTCGCCGCCCGAAGACGGCGCGAAGGCGGCGGCGGCGGCGGCAGCGGCGACGGTGACCGGAGCGAAGACGAGCGTCGGTCGCGTGCCAGCCACCAACCCGCAGCGGCCGACGAAACGCGCGGCCGGCGGTGGCGATCGGCGGGCTCACCGCGCGAAGAAGACGTCGGCCAACCACTCGTGCAGCCACCCGGGTTGCGGCAAGACGTACACCAAGAGCTCGCACCTGAAGGCGCACCTGCGGACGCACACGGGCGAGAAGCCGTACCAGTGTTACTGGAACGGCTGCGGCTGGAAGTTCGCGCGCTCCGACGAACTGACCCGGCACTTCCGCAAGCACACCGGCGACCGGCCGTTTAAGTGCAGGTTGTGCGACCGCGCGTTCTCCCGGTCCGATCATCTGTCACTGCACATGAAGCGGCACAACGTCTGACCGGACCCGGCATCCGTTTCCGCGCAGTTAAGACACTAAAACCCTCTCTAACTCTCTCTCTCTCTCTCTCTCTCACACACACACACATACTTCTGCGCCGTATCGTAATCGTCTTTCGTGCTCGTAGTGCGGTCAGCGACGTCGTTCGGGTGCAACTCGCCGCGGTCCTAGGGTTTAGCTATATTCCGAAGTCGGCACAAACACGTGGTCTTTTATCGGGGCCGCGGTCGTCGATCGGAAAAACGAGACGTGCATACGCTGTACTAAAATCACGCCGCCGGGCCGATAAGAGCCGAACGCCGATCGGCCCTACCCCGGAAGAAACGACGCCGCCGAGGCGAAAATCGATCGAAGGCGCTAAACAGTCGGACACGATAAAACACGTTACGAATAGCCGAGCACGCTTGCACGCGCAACACTCGTACACGGTAATAAATATGTTTTTCGTGTTCTTCGAACGTTACATAAACAATGTACACGCAGCTTGTACTGTATACGAGTGTGTATTTTTTTTTCTTCTCTTTTTACCGCGGTCTTACCATAAGTATACATTAGTGTAGTGCACCTATGTTTACGTGCGTAGAGAGTATATAATAGTCGTAAGTTAAGTTTAATCGTATACGAGCGTACATTTGTACCGAAATAAGGTTATATAATAATTATCATATGTGTGTACGTACACGTTCGGCAGCGGTTTCACACGTGTATATTGTACTGCGTGCAGGGCGACAGTGTTGCTTATCATCGCTGCATCAGGGTGCATCGGACACAATGGTGTTACGGCAAAGTCGTACGGTTATCATATTTGCTGTCGGACGGTACTCGTGGACTGGCACGTCAACGTTTTGTTACTCGGGCGCGCAAAACGCGCCATAACGTCCGCTTTCGGTGTTGAACCGTAGCAATAACTACGGTAACGGTAATAATAAATATCGTGTTGAACAGCGGCGTGGCGAACTCAAACATTTTCAGAGGCAAGCATATTTTGTCGATACACACCCACCCCCTCGAAAAATACCCTACCCCGGCCGCCTCTCGATTACACCCACATCGTCACGCCGCTTTCGTGTTCGAACATCACCGTTGCGGCGACACGATCCGGACGTGCGCGATGAAATAGACTAGTGAAACATTATTTTTTTTTAACAATTACAAACTTCACGCACCCAACAATAATCTAATTCGTTTGCACCGGAAGCGAAACAATCGTCTCGTGACCGACGAAATCTTGTGAGCATGTGCACCGCGAAAGTGATGGACGCGGTTCAGTTGTCGTTAGATCCTGTTGGATCGCGGAAAACACGTTCCATTTTCGCGACGACATCCGACGTGCCGCGCACGCCATCCAGAGTTCGGTGAAAAAGGTGAAAAGTTTTTTTCTCTTAACCTTCGTCGGTAAACACGACAAATCGGTTACCAGCGCAACTTGTGGTCCATCATGTGTTCCAAGCGTATACGGTTAGCTTCGACATCATTACGAATATTCGCGCGAAGATTATGTGCCGTCCGATACAGTAGCGCCAAACTATGTTTTATCGAAAGGCGCGAACACAAATTTTAACCACCATAGATGCCCTCAAATATATTATTTTCATTCCGGTCCAAGGTCGAATGTCTACGCTATTTTTTTCCGCGGTTATCTGGCAGTCAATTATCAATCGTTTAATCGTGTTCATATTAAGTAGTTACCTACTGGCTACCGAGTGCAGATTTATCAAAATTATATAAATTCAGTAATCATCACTTAATCTTAAGTGGTACAATAGGGTGACCATATTAAAAAAAAATAAAAAAACGGAACAGCTGTTACTTCCCTCCCCCCCCGAAAAAACCCTTATTTATATACTTCACACATATGCACACAAATCTCGAGAGTTTAAGTCCAAATCTCTGTCATATAAACAATTATTTTCTTTTTACTTTACCCTTATTTAGTAAAATAACCTAAATAATAAAATATTTTCTTTTAATTATTATTAAATAATATTCTCTTAATTATTCATCAAACAACACAATGTAACATTTCAAAACTATTATAATTTTTTAAACAATTAAAAAAATTTCATTTTTAATATTACAATTAAAATTTTAAACAATTTTATATTGTTACATATAATGACTCTTACATTTTTTTAACAAAAATCAGGAAAATTATACACTATCAGCTATCTCTATTATTTATGAATTTTGTAAGCCTTCCTTTACACATTCCACTGTTTTCTCGTACTTTTCGGAAAAATTTATTGAATTTAACAATTTCGGGTGTTTCAAAAGAAATTCATAAAATTGTGAACAAGTTACGTTTTTAAAGTGTTTTTTGGTAATTATCATCGATCTAAGGGTTTCGATATTAAAATAAATGATATAATAAATAATATGAAAATAACGGGATTAAAACGGGACAGTTTTCTAAAAACGGGAATAAAAGCGTCCCATTCGAAATTTGTCGGGACAACAGAACGTGATGATCAAAAAAGGGACAATTCCATTTTAAACTGGACGTCGGTCACCCTATGGCACAAGTACACCGCATTGAGTACACATTCGGCACCGCTGATTCGATATCAAATGCTCTTCGGACAGCGCAATCTCATATTACTGACCACGTTTGACACACGGTGGCATTCTCCAGTTGAAATGTTCGTATTTTCAACAACATTTATATCCTACGGATATCGGAAACATCGACACTGAATCAATCCAATTGAAGCGCCACCGCCGTCCGAATTAACGCCACGGATCGTTTCGCACGACCGGTTTTGTTTTTTCTTTTCAATTCTCTTCGTCCACGAAAACCGCCAAACGACCAGCAACAGGTGATAGCAATACAATTATGCACGTGCGCGACTTCCACCGGATATACGTACTCGCTGTCGCACACTAGAGCGCACATCTCGTGTGCGTTTTTAGACTTTTTTTTATAAATTTTTTTTTTTACGCGTCACAGCAGCTCATAATTTATATTTACTACTGTTGATGCACACTGAATAGGCACCTGATTTAATAAGGGGTTTTTTTTTTTTTTACCGAGTGCCGCCGTGCAATATTATCCGGCTGGAATCCTCCGGATGGAGAACGGTCCAAAGCTGCATCGCAAGCAAACAGTGATTTTTGCAATCTCGAGAATCGTTTCTCAACATTTTCAGTTTCCCGACCTTGTCAAATAGATAAACGATAAAGTCAGTCACCTCACGCCTCTTCCTCCCCAACTATATTCTTGACATTTTTTTTCTGCCAAATTATCTGTTTTTCCAGTTACAAAGTATATTATTATGTCATTATATTCCAGTCTTTTTAATTTTTCCAAAACTACACACACCATACTCATACTTCAGTGACCGGCAGTAAAATACAGGTCAAAATAACACTACATGCTAGTAACATAGCACTAATATGCTATGCACATTCGCGGTGACGACGCCCGAACACGTGTCTTACAATTCTTTCCATTGGACTCACGAACAACTTTCATTCGCTATGTACTTGATTTAAACCCGATCTCCATACGCCGTTTCAAAATGAGCATATACTGAAAATTAAAACGTTTTGCCATGGCACTTGTGCTTATAAAGATATTTTCATACTTCACTGCGTGCAGATCGAGTGGAGGCAGTAATTAAATTGTTAAATTTATAAACAAATGATAATACATAAGTACATGTTACCTCACCTCCAATGATGAAAATCAGTCATTGTCAGTGATCCTATACAACGTTAATAATATCTTATTTGTTAAGTTATTGATTGACTAGTCATTTTAGTAATGTTTAAAGCGCGAGTGAAAATTTCAAAATTTTTATTTCGAAAAGATTATTTAAAAAAAAACTCATTTTACATCCATTTATTAATATAAGTATTATAATATACCTGAATAAGTGTAGAAATTCTCCGATCTAATTGCTATAATAATCGTCTCATAATTTTTAAATATATCATAAATCAAATATATATTATATTTTAGATATCTATGTAATAAGAACCTTACATTTCTACGTTTAAGATAAACTCTGATTATACATAATGGCGTTACCAAAATGTTTAAGTTATTTTATTAAAATAGGCACGTGTGTAAATAAGCTAGTCCGTCTAAATTTGTTTTTCAATGCAATAGTTTTTTCGGGTAAGTGTATATAAGAAGACAACTTTGCGACTCTAAACAATTTTCTGCGTTTATAACTAATATAATGAAAAACGTGTACAATTAATACAATATCTAATAATATGTTAATAATAATAATATCTAATATTATGTTATTAATCGTTGTCAGAAGAACATTTTTTGGTGTATGAAATCCACTGCAGCCTTATGATTATTGCAGATCTTCTCGTCCATTAACAAAATGTAGCAAAACATAAAATCGTTAGTGTTCGAAATAGTTTATGTGAAATAATGTGTCTGCATTTTTGCTGTTTTGGTAAAAACATGTAAAAAAAAAAAACTTAAATGGCTTTTTGTCGTGAGCTCGTAGAATTATATCGAATAATCTGTATAACAACTATTACCTTGTAAAATACTAATGATAATCAAAAACGTTTAATCTGGATTAAACGAACAAAACATATTATTATTTGTTATATTTTTGTTTTATACATATATAGTTTTTAGTTGTATTCGAAATCAAATTTAACAATGTGATTAGATTTAAATGTTATAACTTAGTGTTTACGATTCTTATGTGAATAAAACGATTTTATCAATGTTTTTATTCATTATTTTCTATTCATTATTTACTAAAGCATTGAGAAAAATAATAAAAATATACAAATTTATATATTAACTGTACCTAACAATACATTGTCCGTGGATTCGTATCCATTGAGCGTATACAATTTAAAATTATTTTTTCTCCGTTATATTTGTTACTATGTGTAGTAGTATTGTTTTGGTGAAAATCTCTTCCTTCTCTAGACTTAGCGGTGTTAATCATTTATATATAATGTATTGTGTCACGTTTATTTAACAGTAAAAAAAATTGTTTGCCATTTAATAAAGTACTAAGATTATTATTATTATTATTATTATTATTTTAATTATTATTATTATTATACATTAAACTTTTACCGTTATGAAAATATTTGTTTTTCATTTACAAAAGGTAACCCGATGCCACCCTACACACGTGTATTAAACTATTATTATTACACGTACTCGTCTAAGTACACCGTATTAATTTGACGCGACGGTCGTTCGGAAGTGGCGGACGTGTGCAACATGTGGGGGGAAGGGCGGGCGTGCGAGTCGTACATCATAACGGTTTCGTGTCAAGGGAAGGGATTGCGACTGTGCCGGACGGGTTATCAATTTGATTAAATACGGTTTTGGTCGTTCGGAAACAACGGGCGACAGACGCAATGAAGACACACGATTGCGGGACGCGTAATGCGCACGTTAATTAAACGCGTAGGCGGTTGTAGCTGTGGGCACAGGCGTGCGTGTTATGGGACACGACCGAAGGTAGTTGTTTTTTGTTTTTTTTTTATACAATTTTTACATGCTCGCCAAAACGGGTCGGTGAAACGATGCCATGATAGGAAAGGCATGGATGCGTTATGGTACAGTCATAGGCACAACTAGGGTAAAAAATCTAGGGGAGCTACAGCCCTCCTACTAAAACTTAAAACAACCTGTAGATTACCCCTACTCTTATATACCATGTTAAAATATTTTAGATTAGGTGTCAAGTTGGATTTACTGCAATGTGCCTTTTTTTTGTATGTGACACTATTGTGAGTAAAATATGCTGTATACAGTATATCATGTATAACATGGAATATTTATAGGGGGGGGGCTAAATCTTGGTTCTAGAGGGCTAATCCCCCCCTAGTTGCGTCTATGGGTTCGGTAGGCCGAGGTTCGCCCGGGCGCCGGAAGTGTTGCTGCAAAAGATCGCCGCACGTAGGTACACGTTGGGTAGAAACGAACGACGAATAAAATATTTTAGAACGTAAATGATAAGCGACGATTGTTCGACGAGAAAGTGCAACAGAACATGTACGTAACTTTTACCACTTACAGGTATCACAAATCACATGCGCTATCGTTGGCGCGGATTATCGTCGCCCGAACATCGTTAACGGTCGCACGACGACAAATGTAACAGGACTTGGTCGGACTAATATCTTTTGTTCTTCACGATTTTTACTTGGCTAATACATTTCTGATAACAAAAATGAAATACGGAAGATATATTGGCACGTAAGACGGAAAAAATAAAACGAATTAACAAGAGTAATCGTACAAAGAAAATGTGGGGAGACGGGTACGTGATGTGATGATTTTAATAAAAAAAGAGTAATTATTGTAAGATATGTGAATCGTTTATTAGAAATTAGTAATCATACCCTATATCCGAAAATAATTAGAAATTCTTGTCCAGGGTGTTATTATTAGTGCTTCCTAATAAAATAAGTTTTTTTTTTTTTTATAACTTCTTAGACGAAGCTTTTTTATCTGAAAATGTATTTCAATAGCATGCGAATCTGAGTAATTAATTTTTATTTTGCATTTTTTGACTTTTTTGTTTTTTAAGTAATTTTTCGTTATTATTAGGTCTTATTTTTGTACTTTTAATAATTTTTACAAGAAAAAATAACGAGTTTATTAAAAACCCAATATTAAATTATATTTAAGATATATCATTCGTTAAATAACATGTACATTGTTATCGCACTCTCAATAATTTACAATCTTCTTATTGTTTCTTGTCAATATAGGCCGATAACTTACAACTTGAAAATTACAAATTAGTATCCGATTTTATTTCGTGGATTACAGTCATTGTTTTCA